GGCCCCGCGCACGCCGCCGCGCTCCGCCCCGCCACAGAGTCCCCGCCGGGCGAGAGCGGCTCCACATCCGGGTACTGGCGCACCCAAGGCCGGAGCGGCACCTTTTCTGAGGGATTAGTAGGGTGTCCTCAGCAACAGTGGGGTGGAAGGGCTTTGGAGAGGCGCACGAGTAGGGAAAGAAAGGAGATGAAAACCGATCCCTAAGCGTCTCGCCCGGGCCCTCGGAGAGTGCGCATGCGTGCAGCCGGGAAAAGCGGGGGCAGACGCCCAGCCCCGCCTGAGGCGACGAAGGGGCGGCTTCCCCGAGTTGTTGCGGCCTATGGTGCGGCGCGCCCCGTTGGCTGTGAGGGAAGGGGCGGGCAAGGAACGCCGTCGCGCCGGCTTGGAGGTGGGACTGGAGGAAGTGAGGATCCCTGTGCTACCCGCGCAGCTGAAACCAGGTACCTCTGGTGAGGTCAGTCTTTATTCATAAAGTTCTAGTGCACCTGGTTGTGCTTAGTGTGAATCTGGGATTACATGCCGTTTTGGTCTTCTTTTTAACGGGTGGGAAGTAGAACACATTATAACATAGATTAAGGGCAACCTGTATTTTTGTAAATGTAATTTGAAAGCGTTTCAGATCACAGTGGGTAATTAGTGTTGTGTTTTTAAACTGAGCAGAATGGTACTGAATGATGTGTGTCTTACCTTCATGCAGAGTCAGGGTGGTTAGTAGACTCCAAACAGCACAAGCTCCTGGGAAAGAGTTCACAAGCACCTTGCCCATTGTAACAACCCCCATTCATTGCATAATGCGGTCCCCAACTGCAAAATACAACCTCGAAAGGAAAATAAGAGGACTGTAAGTGTGGTTTCCGGTTGGTGACATTATGGTGTATAGGATTTAAAACCATTGGTTCACAGCCGAGCACAGATGCTTTATTAGCATTATGTTGCTTTTTCTGAGAGTCTAGGGAGCAAGGAATACTGTAGCAGAAGTGAATAATCAAGTGGAAAGAAAGGGGGTGTCAAATATAACCAATGAATTATTATGTAGTGAAATAAATTATGTCCTTAATTTCTCATGTCAATAAAACAGGAAAATACCAGTATGGAACCCCAAAGGCCTGATAGAGCTTATTTCAAAAACTAAACAGTTAAAATATTTGTTCAAAATAGGCCAGTCAAATGTCTTTTTCAAAGCATTTCCATCCTGGAAGTGTTCAGTGTGCTAGTCCTGCTCTGCCAACTCTTTCTTCTCTCTCTGGAATCTTTTCTGATTTCCTTCTTTTCTTGTTAACCAGTTAAATTGATCACATGAATTAATAAGTTGATAAAAATATTTTAGAAAAAAATATGGCCACTGCACAAGTTCTACTGTGGTTGACTTTGTAAAGTAAGCTAACTCAAGTAAAGGCCAACTGAGAAGTGAAGACTCTTAATAGTGCAACCTTGCATTTTACGTCAAGTTCAGTGTATTGATAATGGTTTTCCATATGTTTGATTGTGTTTACCTCACTAGGAGGTTTATACTTACTAAGACATCATCTAATATTTAGATAGGCTTTTATTCTCAATACCAGAGATTAGTTATAATAACTTCGAATTTTATTTGCCCTTAAAATGGAAAAGGATCTTAAGAAGTGATCTAGCCCAGGGGTTTTGTTTTCTTTTCTTTCCCCACCCTTCCTCCCACCCCAGCCCCCCCATCTTGACAAATCCTGTTCTTCCCCTGTATATATGACGTATAACAGAGGCTAGGTACTCTAGATGAAGTAATAGAGCAAGGCTGGAACCTGCCTGTTGTCTTCTCTTCCTCCTACCTTTGCAAGGGTTCTACAGAAGCTCATCAAAACCTCTGGAGTACCACTGAGCACAGTGCATCAAATTAGCCTAATCTCCATATTTGATAAGGAGAAAATGAGGCCAGCACTGATTAAGTAACTTGTCTAGGATTACAGAAGAAGTTAAGAAATAAGCTAAAACTAAATCCATCTAACACTGGATGAATTTCTGTATGTTAAACACTCTTATCTATCCATCCCCTTATTAAAGACATCGTGAGTTTATAAGTCTCATGTTGCTAAGGCTACTTCAAGACCCTTAAATTAACAGTTTCCCAATGGTCTCTAAATGTTTTTGAGCATACATCCTTTCAATACAAAGTTTTTGAACATATACTTCCAATATATATGCTTATTAATGTATAAATTAAATATGTATTACCATGTTACATGTTATATAACATACCCAAAAGTAGAAATTACATGAGGATAAGATACCAAATATAAAAAAAAAAATTTTGTAATTTCTCCCTTTACTACAATAGATCATCTTCTGAATCCCTAGATGTTTAAATTGGTATTCTCCAAAGGAGACACACCACAGTTTGGAGAACATTGTGCCATACATGTATCTGTCATGTTTAGAACCCAGTCATTTTGCATATATGTATGCTTATCTGCCCATTTGTTCAAAAACATTTAGGGTCATTTAAAACCAGTAAGTTTTTTTGAATTTTGCCATTCACCTACTGTTCTACTACTATGAATGAATTTGTGGCTGCTTTACAGTCTGCAAAAATATATAATATTTGGAGAGTAATTTTATTTACAGTAACACTGTCTGCTATAACAGACCCCAAAACATATAAAGGCTCAGATACAATTTTTTGTTTCCCATTCATGTAAGAGCCTAATGCTTCCCTCAACATGGTGATTCAGAGACTTATGCTATTGTTCCACCATTCCCTAAAGTTATCTATATCTAGCTTAAGAAAGTGGGGGAAAATGTAGAGGGGTGCGTACTCACTTCTCAAAAGTCTTGGCCCGACAAATTAAAAAAAAAAAAGTCTTGGCCCTGAATAGCATGTATCACTCAGTCACATGCCATCGTCTAGAATTCAGCCACATCTAACTGTAAGGGAGGGAAAATGTAGCTTATAGCTGGGTGCCCAAGAAAAAAAGTGTATCAACTAGTGTCCACTCAGGAAAACAGACCACTCTAAATATTCAAATGGAAGGAATTTAATAGAGCCAAGTGTTTGCAAACGTGTTAGAAGGGCAGTAGAAGCAAAAAGAAATTAGTAAGTGCTGGAAAACAGTATCCTTCCGGACTAGAAGAGTGAAAGAGAAAATAATGTTACCTGGGACCCAGGATTCCTGTGCCGTTGACGCTGCTGATGTTGGAACTGCTGGTATTTGCAGTAAGCCAGGAGTCCATGCTCACACTGAAGCTGCAGGAGACCAGGAGCCCAAAGTTGTCTGCCATTGTCACTGCCACTGCCAAAGTCAGCACTCCATGAGTGCAGGGCACACCCTGCTGCTGCAGGCCCAGAAACTGGCCTGCCTGAGGAGGAACCCAGAAGCTGCATCAGAGGCAGGAAGCAAAAAATGGCTTCTCCTCTTACCAGTTGGTCTCCCCTTAGTCTCCCACAAATAGCAGGAGTACTTCTCCCTTTGGGGTACTCAGCATCATTCTTACCATTCTATGGTACTTAAATTTCCACATAACAAAGAAGTAACATCATGCATCTGCCTAACAGGATCCAACTATTTCACTTACAATGAAGATATCTTCACTCTCTCTCTCCCCAGAAGGAGAAGGCATAAAGTCCCATCCATTACCATATCTATATCTGGGAGACAGTAATTCCACTTATAGGTCACCACATTTCCTCCTAGGTATACTGTAACCTAAATTATAAAGTTAACAACCACCAACAAAATTGACATTTTGCTAGGCTGGACAAGAAAAAAGAAGACTCAAACATCCACCAATACTCCTTATAAAAAATACTAGGGTCTATTGATGGAGGCGGAGATAAAATGTGATACACACAAGGGTATATTATTCAGCCATAAAGAAAGGAAGAAAACAGGAGCTACTTCTCAAAGAGAAAATACTTACTGGCAGAAGAGGGCAAAATTTTGAGCTAAACCCTAGAGTTTTGCACTGGGATTCTACTATCAACATTGACAGAGGATCTGTATTGTAAGACAGTCTGTCACAGATATGTGACAACATGGGCTCTGCTGGGTCATATGGTCTCCCTGACAGAGAAGCTTGCCCTGCATCCTGGGCCTGCTGCCGTTTCCTCTTACTTTGGGAACTACTCAAAACTGGTTTATTGAGAGCAGTATAAATGTGATACATCGTATCCCTAAAATACAAAAAGGCCCACGTGTTTTTACCTCTTTCTTCACAACTAAAGGTACAATTTGCCTTTTATTTTAGAGAGGGTATTCTGGTATGTCCCAGACCACTAGACTCCTGGACACTTTACCAAAGTGTTAAGATCTAAATTTTCCTAGACATTATCTACCATCCCCTGGTATGCATGTGTCTTACTAAGACATCTAGGGTACCTGGCACTCCTGGCCCAAGTCAGATCAAT